TATATATATCTGTGAGCTTCAAGCTGCTAATTAAAATTTTGGCAATAAATATAACATTTAAAAAAATAAAAATAGGCTTAATGTGAGAGAAATGTTCACAATTTACTTCCTTTGTCTCAACGACGTACGTAGTTTGTACTACTATACAGAAAGATACTGCCCCCCAGTGGCACGTCTGCGGACTTACAATGCTAGAATCCGGCTTTCAATACCCATGGTGGGCAGAGCACAGATAGCCCATTGTGTAGCCTTGTGCTTAATTACAAACAAACAGAAAGATGCTACAGAGATCCGTGCATATAGTTGTTACAGAATGTAATTTTCTGATTAATTCATTCTGAACCGTATGCATTTACACCACATATTCATTTTAATGGTATTCTTATTTGATGCTAAGTTTTTTTGTCAGTTAGTTAGCAGGAGATCAAACAGTAGATCTTGATGTCACTAATAATTAGCATTGCAAGTTAACCGATACGAGTTATTTTATTCAGTAATGACTCATGGCCATTTTAAAGTTTGATTAAGACTTTAATAATTCATTTGTTAAAATATACATATAAAGGTGTTTTCCTAAGCTCGTTGATTTATTTATTAAGTAGAATAATTTTTTCAGTGAAATATTTCTACTCACGCTGTAATAATTTGCAAAGAAAAAAGTCTGCTATCTCGACCGTGCACTGACAAACGTTGGGAAGAAAGATGTTTTTACAAAACTGTTAGAAAATCTTCCTATGGGTTTACATGTTATCGTGAGAATTAGCTGCTATTCTGTAGTTTGTATATAGAAATAAACCAATTTCTCTGACTATTGATTGCAACGTCTTGAATGAGTAACACTAAATCTTGTATCTTGAAGCTGTATCAGCTGGAGCTCGTATCACAAAGGAATGTTAGCAAGCAGTGATTATGAGGGAACTGTGACCATATGGGATGCTTTCACCGGTCAGAAAATACGGAACTTTCAGGTATGTGAAATGTTCATGTTGAACCTGACATCTGATTTTTATAGTCTTCGTTTACCTTATTCTTTGGAACCAATATTTTGATGGAGCATCCTAAACTTACTGTCGAAAACAATGTTTTATTTTCTGATTCACTTTTTAATAAAGAATGTAATTCTCTCTCTTAACAATAATGTTCAAGTATCGACGTTTGTATTTTTTTCTGAAAATAAGTATTTCTTATAAACAGTTACACTGATGTGTAAGTAAACTATTATAATAAAAAAAATATTTGTTTTGATTGGTTATACAGTTAAATTATTCATGATGGTAGAGTACTAATGAAGTGATTTGGTTAATAGTTACTTAAAGATGATTGTAAATGTATTTGTTGAAGTAATTATTAGCTTTATTGGTGTTAGAATGGACCATCTTTTACAATGATGTGGGTTGGCTTTCATCTGGGTCTTATCGAAAAAACGTCTTTAAATTAGTATCCACAACTGATAAACAAATAATGACAGTATTTAATTGTAGTTTTGTTTAAGGCGTGGTCTAGCCTTGTAGTAGAACTCTAGATTTTTGAGTTGGGTTCAAATCTATGTGATACCACAAAATATTCCCAGCATTTAAAGTCTTGGTGCATTATAAGAGTGACAGCCAATATTTTAATGTAATTAATAGGTTGTTGCTGACACTGGCTGCCTTCCCTCTGCTCGGTAGCTCAAAAGTAGGGATGGCTTCAGATAGCTTTGCTATAAGTGCAAATTGTATTTTTGTCTTTTGTTGAAATATGTAAAATTTGAAGAACAGTCAGTGTGCGTGCGTGTGTGTGTGTGTGTGTGCATGTACGTATACAGGTTGGCTACGAACCTGAGAAATCATGTAATTTTCCTTTAAGTGTCAGAAATTGAGAAAAATTATCGCAAAACCTGAACATGCATGCAATTTATTACATAGTAGTATATCTTTAGATAATATTTGTCGGTCATTTTTTTTCTATCTTGTGATAACTTTTTTAATTCATTATATTTAATAATCGGTTTGATTCCAATTCTGTTGTAAAAATGTAATAACTTATTGTCTACCATAAAGTTTCTATGACCTTACTTGAACAGTTGTCTGAAATAGGTTAATCTTATCAAAGATATGTAAAGAAACTAGTGTTTCCACTGATCTCTGACATTTTATATGTTCGTCTAGGAACACGAAAAACGTTGCTGGAGTGTTGATTTCAACCGTGTTGACACCAAACTAGTTGCATCAGGATCTGATGATTCTAGAGGTATGTATTCTATTCTGATCATCTTGTGTCATCAGTATTGATGATTCTAGAGGTATGTATTCTATTCTGATCATCTTGTGTCATCAGTACTGAGATAATGTTACGATAAGGTGATTAATAAGTTCATTTGTGAAAGTTTCATTTTTTTTTTATTACTTAATCTTGATCTTTAGTATTTTTAAAAGTCTGTACCTTTACTTTGTTTTATTATATGAAGGGAAACTACGTTTTAACTGATAAATAGGTATTACTGTATCCAAAAGTTTATTTATTACTATACAGTGTTGACGTACGTCTTCTCTCCCTTTCTGACATCTCTAGAAGATGTCTACCTATACTGCTTAAACCTTTTTTATTTACATTTATTTTGTGATTCATGTTCTTTTCTATAAAAATCGGATATCACGATAATGATTTGATATTACTACAAGTGTTACTTAAGTATTACTGAACTATTGCAACTGTTATACGATGTTGTATTCTTGGACTTATACAATATTATTTATTTTAACCATAGTTGGCTTTTTATCCCATTAAAATGAAAATTATGAACTAGTGTTGTAGAACTGCCTTTTACACATTGTAAGAGTGCTTTTGGAAATCAAATTGTTTTTAATGACCAAAGCAGGTCAGTGATGACCAGTTTGTCAAGTACTTGTAACTATGTTAAAAACTTTTAAAAAGAAAGCAAGCAGTTCGGGGTGTGTTTTGCATTTTAAAAGTGGTAGTCAGATCCAACTATTTGAATAGAGAGTACCCCAAGAGTTAGTGGTGGGTGCTGTTGATTGGTTGCTTTCTCCTTATCCATAACATTAGGGACAACTAGTGCTGATAACCTCTGAGATGCTTTGCACAAAATTCAACCAATAGCAACAACATTTTATTTTTTTTTGAAAAAGACAAAGCTCTTTTGATTATAGAAGAAGACAAAACTGTATTAAAGAAATGAATGTACTTTCTTTGAAGTTGTTTTTAAGACTGTAAGATACTGGAAAAGATCCAATTCCTAAAGAACCTGTTACATGGAACAAAAGTCATTGTGGAACGTGCAAAACTAATTCCAATTACGTCTTGTTTATCATTATGTAGTTAAGCTTTGGTCAACTGGAATGGACCATTCTGTAACATCGCTGGAGACCAAGGCCAATGTCTGTTGTGTCAAGTTTAACCCTGAAAGCAGATACCATCTGGCTTTTGGCTCAGCTGGTTAGTAAGAATTGCATTGATTGCTACTTTTTATTTTCATTTCATACAATGGAAGCTCTTCAATGAGACCAATTACAACATATCAAAGTAAATTTTTGACCAATCACAACATACTCGTATAGATTTTTGACCAATCACAAGTTTTAGTAATTCAGTATATTCATAATTATATTTTATGAGCAATGCAGATTTGAGGTATTACAACAGAATGGTAATAGAAAATGCACCACTATTTTAAAGGAACAATGAACGTTTGAAAAAAAAAATTGTACTTAAATAAGATGGAATGTATAATTTTATATAGAGCTAGTAACTTATATTATTCTATGCTAATTAATTTCAGAATATTTGGTCTTATTAAAGACTTTCCACTGCATTACTAATTATAGAAGTTTGTCTCTTATGTTTTTAATTTGTAATGATTACAAAACGGACATATTTTTTATTTATAGCTTTAAAGTGTTATGCAATCCAAAATGAAACATAGTGGTTCATGTGTTCAGTGCTTGCATGTTTGTGTCATGTGAGATGTTTTTAGCCAATCATAATTCCCAGTTTGTTTCTATTCTCTGTTCTGCTTGCTTATGGGTAACAGAAGAGGACATTGACAGCTCCAGACTTGGTACTTGTCTGTTACTCTCACCTTGATTTTATCTCTACTAAACTGTTAACAATCTCAAAATTTATCCTTCATAAACTTTCAAAACTTCACTTGTAATCTTAGCCTATTATTCATGAAATTTCTTTAGATACGTGTCGAAGATTTCACAAAATTATTTTTCTGCTTGATCTCTGAAAACTGTAAATTTAAAATGTTTTTCCTTTCATCATGATTTAGATTTTTGTTACTTGTTTTGGTTATATTAAATGGAATATTTTGATAATCTTTCCCAGTCTTTTTTTTATTATCAATATCGTGAAAACATTTTCTAGGTTAATCTATCGAAAGCTGTTTAAAAGAAAAAAAGTGAACACTCATTTTTATAAATATATGCTTTTTATGAAATATACATTAAAAGTAATGGGAGAATTCAAAGAGGATTTCATTCTAACTTAATTGTGTTGAACATAAGGTGTGGTTTATCTATTAATACATTAGTTAGCAACCTTTCCAGTCATTAAAGTTATATTAATATTGGTCACAGTGAATGATATGTATGTCAGGTTTCAGATTAATGCATCAATTTTAGTGTGTATAAAAATAATATTTTTTTTGGGGGGGGGGGGGGTCACCCATTTATATTTTGTATCTGGATGTGTTTGAAATATTGGAAATATGATTTTAATCAAAGTGATGGTGAAAGTGTTTAGACAAAAATAAATATATGGCCCATAACTTGATATTCTGTGTTTCAATATAAGTTTTTATATATACATATGTAATGTAATAAAAAGCTTCAGTATTATTAATTAAATTAATTGTTAATATACGATTAAATTCAGCAGTATTAAACAATAATAATTTTAATAGAAAATAAATATTAAAAATATTTTGATAAAGATTCCTTTGTCAGTCATAATTGTCACCTTAAAGTCATAGCTATGACTTTTTACGGTGACAGCTTGGACCGACAAAGGAATCTTTAACGCTTATTTTATATATATAAAACATTACTGATATATGTGTAACTTGTATCTTTTTTTTCTTACAAGAAAAGTTAGATCCATCAATTACATGACTGCTTCTGTAATCATCAAAACTAAAGAGAAAATGTTGTCTTGATGTGGTATCTTTAATACACCTCTGAGGGAGTTACCAGTATTAGTTGTATTACATGTAGGTACTTTGTCACCTATTTAAGACATGATGTTGCATTTCAGATCATAGTGTGCATTATTATGACCTTAGAAACATTAAACAACCCTTGGGAACATTCCGTGGACATAAAAAAGCCGTATCGTACGTCAAGTTTTTGAATACTGAAGAAATTGTATCAGCGTAAGTGGTTTATGTTTTTAGAAGTGTCATTTAAATTCTAATATTGCATCCCCACTTTGGATAAGCGTAAGTGGTTTATGTTTTTAGAAGTGTCATTTAAATTGTAATATTGCATCCCCACTTTGGATATGTTGTTTATAAGGAAATTGACTTTTGTAATGATGCAGAAGCTTAAGTTTAAATCAACAACGTGATTAATGGGTAAACAATTTTAAAGTTAAGTACTTAGGGTAAATCTGTGGCGATTGGATATTGGTCTTTATCATGGTTAGTAGCCTTTACAATCACCTAAGTCTAGTTTTTATCAGCTGTTAATCTGCTACCATCTTTAGAGAAGTCATAAGAAGGACTATTTCTATTGTAGTAGTGGCTCGGATGTAATGTCCTACATCTTCTTAGAGAAGCTGCCGTGGTATCCACTCATTTAGGGTTTTACCCCTTTAGGACTTCATTAAACTAATTTTTTGAATGTGTTTAAGAGGTGTATCCAATCTTATTTACTCCTGTGCTAGGTTGGCTGCTTTATGTTATCAGTTAGGTGGATGCAGAAAGTGTCTTCTTTCTATCGTTTTCTCGTGTGGTTCATAACCCATTATTTTAGATTATTCAGGTTTATCGTTTGGTGCTTGTCTTCTCTGGTTTGATAAGCTATTGCAAATGTTATAAGAGTGTTATATACACTTCTCAATTCTAACTTTGGTCTTTCTGTTGTTCCACTGTATTGGAGTCCACATTCCCAAGGGATGTTGTAAGTTCTCTATTGGATGTTTAGGTGGTTTAGTGTGTATTTGTTGTTGGTAGTATTTATATTCACGTTAGAAATAGGTTGTGAGTTATATCATTGTTGAGGTTGTCGGTTGAGTTTTTAGATGGTTTGGTGTGTATTAACTCTTTTACTATAAGCTTAGCCAAATCAAATTAGTTTGTAACCCCATCTTGACCTTTATAGTTACCATACTGTAACTTCTAATATGTTTTGTATATCTTCACAAAATTTCACAGACTTTTAGTAATCATTAAGTCATTTGTAGACAAAATGTGAAAAATCTCAAATTTCATTTGCATAGTCTCTTAAAAAGTCCTAAATAAATTTCAATCATTTTTTTGGGTAAAACTTTATACTTTATCTGTTATTTTCTCAACCTAAACTCTATAAAAGGTTGGTCAGTTTGACCAATGGACCTCTTTAATGAACCATATAGAAATAAAACTGGCTTCAAGATAAACTAAAAATAAGCATTAATAGTAAAGTCAAAAAAATTTATCATCGATATTAACATCCATTTATTGAATTTATTCTATAGTTCTACAGATAGCCAGTTGAAATTGTGGAATATCAACAAACCTCATTGTTTGCGCTCTTTCAAGGGTCATATAAATGAGAAAAACTTTGTTGGTTTAGCTACTGATGGTGACTATGTTGCTTGTGGTGAGTTCTAGATTTGTTTAACCCTTTACTCACCATGTTTCTAGGATGTAACATAAATACAACTAGTATATGAAATTGTTTGAAACTTGACAGGAACTTTCCTATATACATGTAGTTTCGGAAAAATAAAGTATTTAATATTAGATTTTTTTACTAAAAAATTCGTTATTTGCTCTCAGACTGAATAGTTCACGTGCAAGGTGATAAGTTAAGTATAAAAATGTTTTTTTTTCGTCTTACAGTTTTCATATTTCATTTGTATAAACCTTTAGAACCTCCTAAATGAATATCAAGTTTTTTTTAGGTAAATGTTTATACTTTATTTTTCATTTTCTCTACCATATTATTAACTGTAGGCTATTATCACCAATGTACAATACAATAAAATGTTTAAGATAAAGAAATATAAATATGTACATACCTTTTAACTGTTCATCAAATAATCTTAAAATATCTTCTGTGTGTGTTATATTCGTAATTTCATGTCTTACGTATAGTTTATTTTAAATGTTTTATATTCCTGTCCATGGCCAGGTGGTTAAGGCGCTCGACTAGCAATCTGAGGGTTGCGAGTTTGAATCCCCGTCCGACCAAACATACTCGTCCTTTCAGCTGTTGGGGCGTTATAATGTGACGGTCAATCCCACTATTCATTGGTAAAAGAGTAGCCCAAGAGTTGGCGATGACTAGATGCCTTCCCTCCCTCTAGTCTTACACTGCTAAATTAGAGACAGCTCGTGCAGATAGCCCTCATGTAGCTTTGCGTAAAATTCAAAACACACAAACAAACCTTTCCTGTCCTTTACTATTTATTTTTCAACTCAACACACATCAATTGGTGCCTTCAGGGTATATTACACTATCATCGGCAGAGATGTACAGGCCTTTGGCAAAATGTTTTTGCGATGGCATAGTAGTTAACCCTTGCGAACCGCAGTGAAGTTTGAGTTATATTAAAAAATTTATTAAACCTTTCAAATATGCATTTTTAAGCATAAATAATACATAATTAACTAAAATATAAAAGTAAAACCTAAATACAATTTAACTGTCTATCTAACTAACATCTATCTAGGCACTAAGTACAAACAAAGACAAAAGCAGCAAAAATACTACATGCAGTTAGACTTACTTGATAAGAAATACTATGTGCCAGTTTTGAAGTAACCTTTGGAAGATTGTAGTTTAAAATAAGCTCTTTCTATTGGTTATAAACATGTATCAAGTAAATACATGTGGCTTGTAAATCTTGAGCCTTATGTATATAAGGTGGCATGGCTTCTGTCAGGGGGTGGGGAATTTATTTCTTGTGTACACTGAAATCACCCAAAGAAATTTGAAACACAATTGGTAAATAGCACAGTAACCATAGTTTCTATCTAGATGTATCGTGTAGGAGTATTATCTTTCAAGTACAGAGACCAAAAGTTAAGGTGTGTGCACATTCGTGCGTCATGTTTCTTTTTAAATAAAGGAATTGAAACTTAGATAATGTAAAACTTTGAATTATGATATACATTATAATGATAATTTCATTGGTATACATTAATAAGAAATTTGTTTAAGTTTTGAATGTAACTCAGAAAAACTTTGTGACATGCTCAGAAAGGAGTTTAAAAAGTAAGCGATTGTCAAAGGGTTAAGAGAAAACGATGTATCATTTATTACCTATGTATGTACACAGCGTGGTCACAAGTAAACAGACACTACCTTTTCAGAAAAAATGAAATTTTCCAGTCATATTCACATGAATTGATATATTTATAATTTAATTAATATCTAGAAGATCTTCCTTTCGCTTCGTGGAGTTCATTGATCCTTTGGGGCATCATAAGAATCTTCTCGTCAATTTTAGATTGTGAGATTTTCGCCCACTCTTGCTTCAAATATGGAGTAGATCGCTCTTCGAAGTTGTTTTTTTTGGTTGTTTCTTGACTTGCCGGTTGAGTATGGCCCAGAGGTTTTTGATGGGGTTCATGTCAGGAGATTGGCTCGGTCAGGGCAACTTCTGGATACCATTTTCTTCCTGCAACTTTTGGGTGTTTCTAGCAGTGTGACACGGTGCTCCATCTTCCTGGGACAACGTTGTGTTCTTGTCCACGAAACCTGAGGAATAAAGTGGCAAGAGTCCTTCCTCCAATATTTTGACGTATTTTGCAAAATTTATGTTTCCAACGTACTCCACTAAACTCGATCTCCCACCAATCCAAACAGCTCCCCAAACTATCACG